CAGCTTTGCCTGGCGATCGGGATCGGGGAGCTTCTTCTAGCTGTTTTTAAGGTGTTAAAGAGGCTTATGAGGGGCCTTAGGCAATTCAAAAGGAGGTTGGCAATTCAAGAGGCCCCCTTCAGCCTCCTTCGTATTCGCCATGCATGACCAAATGGCTGTTTCTGAAGACATGGGGAAGTCAAAATCAAGTTAACATGAAGACCGCCCTTGGCACAGCCAGTTGTANNTGAACCCTCACCCGGACACCTCAAAAGCCCATAAGCCTCTCCGAACAACAGCCTAGACCTCCCTAAACCCAAAATAACCCAAGGGTGTCCTCCAGCCCCTAACCGCCCTTCGAGAGTGGGCCGAGTACAAAGCCTCGACGACGTTCTTGTACTTCTGGATCTCCTGGCCATGGCTTAGGGTNNTTAGGGGTTTTAGGGTTTAGGTCTTTGGGGTCGGAGATGAAAGGTTTCGGGGTTTAGGTGTTCAGGGTTTGGGATCTAGTGATTGGGGTTTCGGCGAAGCGTTTGGGGCTTCGTCAGTGACCTTCTCTAGTTGTTAAAGGCTCAGGGGTTGGTTTAGGAAGTGTTTGGGTGTTGTCCGTGTACGGGTTTGGGTTGAGGCTGAAGAAACAAACTAACTTCACCTCGCTGCACCCTCATCGTATGCACTCACGACACGCCATAGTCTCGACAGCAAAGCCCACAAACAGCGAAGGCGTCAAGTCTTTTCGGCTGGCTCTTCAATCTTCGATGTCTGCATCGAGCACCATGTAGACTCAGCTAGCAAGCACAACTTCGACATGAGCACAATACGGATTCCCTTGAAGGTGGCCCGCTGTTTGCAGGAACTCTAGAAATGAAAAGTGGACCGGGACTGTACTGAGCTGGATGGTCTTCGTTTCGCCCCTTCAGGTTTGCAGTGGCTTTCTTGGGGCCTATCTAACTAACTACCTGAGTATACATTCAACCGTCTTGAAAGACACCACGATGCTTCCAAAGGATAGGGTGGCGAAAACTGGGAGCGGCAAAGCCTGGAACGTGTGTATGACCGGAAATTATACAAAGCAGGCAAAACCATAGGACAGTGCCATCTCAGCAGAGAATGGCAAGCAAGTCTGAAAAGTTTCGACAAATATGCTACGTCCTAACATGTCACATTGAACTGATCGCCCGCGGCCTCCTGCTGCTCTCGCCTGTCCCTTCCAGGTACTTGCATGGACAACACTATTATTAATTGCAAGGACCCTTGAACTAATAGTCTTGACCATGGCAGTACGCATAAAAGTCAGAAGATTCATAGTAAGCCAGAGCACCAGCTATGCTGTATGACTAGACCCTCAAAGCGTCGTTGGATGCCTTTGGCATACGGCATCAGACTCTCTCGACTCCCTCAACGTGCGCTGACCCGACAATGGTGTTGCACTTTGCACTTGCAGGTGCTGGTGTGCTGTCGCGATCACGCCGCGGGGGCGGAGCCTGGCTTCCTTGTGCATCTTTTCGGCTTTGGCCCAAGCCTGCAAGAGCCAAGAGCCGATCTGAAAACATCAGAGGCTCCATGACTCCATGACATCGCGTCACGCGAGCTTGCACGAGATGATCCTGATCAGCATCGAATCAATCGGAAAGTTCCTGCCTTGCACGCTTCGCGATCGACCTCCCACCAACAGCAGATAGCAATTAAGCCCGGATGCTGCCAGTCTCAGGCTGAGAGCGGAAGGTCAGACCTTGTTCAAGGTCTGAATGTTCTCTCGTTTGATGGACTTGACTTCCAGGGCACCGCCATCCATGCCTGCATGAACGGCTGATGGTCGGATCCGTCTTCACGGGTTTACGGCTCAGGTCAACGGGGGTTGGACACCTCGGGCACTACCATAAATGACTACAGTACAACCTCCTACGGTCTCATCCTCACCCTTCTTTACAGCTCGAGTCTCTCCAGCAACTGGTGGTATGTCTCATGTACCTCTTTTAAGGTGCGGACGAATCTCCACTTCCCAGCGTCCCTTGGATGCCGGCCGAGGGTCCTGCTGGCTTCGTACCAAACATGAGCTCTAGACAGTGAGGCGAGGCCTGTATGCTTTCCCTAGTAGCCGCTCGCAATCACAACAAGGCTTATCTCTTGCCTATTGCCTATTCAGCTTCCCCCTTGAAACCCTAAACCCCAAACTCTGGGACTCTGGGATTGCATGCCTCCCGTTCCACCACACCACGGCGGCCGTTAAGCTGTGGGGCTCTTTGGAGACCTCACAAGGCAAAAACCCAGCCCCGAATCGAAGGCCAAGGTTCCAAGGCATTGCAGACAAGAGAGAGAGAGAGAGAGAGAGAGAGAGAGAGAGTCCATTCTGGATATTTGGGCATGTTTGCTTCTGAGCTTGTGCTGCTTCTAGTTTTTTTTTGATTTTTCTGTCTGGCATTGACACTTGTGCGCGCATATGTAAGGTATGTGTATATGTATGCATGTATTCATGTATGTGTGCATATGTGTATACATGTATGTATGTATGTATGTACGTACGCACGTACGTACGTACGTAGGTAGGTATGTATGTACCTATGTATGTGTACATACATATATACACACATATACATATACATGTACATATATATATACAAAAAATATACACATGCATATGCATATACATATACATATGCAGAAACATGTGTATACATACATACATACATACATACATACATACATACATACATACATACATACGTGTGTATGTACACATGTATGCACTTATAGACACGCCGCACGTACATAGATGCCTACATGCAACTTCGGATGATGTGTGGATATATGCGTTTGTTCTTGCACACATCTGTGGCGGTAAGTGAAGTCTTGGCAACCTGGCCAATCAGGAGCACCGCCTGCCCCTTCTCCAGAGGTGGATCCGGAGCGGCCTGAGGTTCATGAAGGCTCTGTGAGACTTCATGAGGGTTGCAAAACGGGCTTAGGGGTCGTTTCGAGGTTTGAGTGTAGGTTTAGGGCTTCAAGGTGCAGGCCCGATAGGCAAGGCAGGATCCAGAACAAAAGCCCGCACCGCAAGCTTCAGAAAGGGCAAGAGAGAGTGACGAAAGCAAAGAACCGGAAGATTCCGGCTGAAAGCTACACCACTTCCTGAGACCCCAGCGACTGGTGCCGGGAAGTGTATCTCAGGTATAATCCTGAATCCACGTGGACTGTGTAGATGCTCGTCAGACGAACATCGGCATAAATGCCGTGACCACAGACTGAGAATAGATGCGCCGTCAATCCCTTTACATGTGGCCTTGCTTGTCCCGCTTTCTGCATTTCCTTTCTTCACTCTTTTCACCGTTTCAGTCTCGGCGCTCGTTCGGTCCGGCTATGTCCGCTTGTGTTTTGTGCTACTGTACAATGCTCTGTGACCAGTGGGATGAAGCACGCTCATGCTCGCCAGCTGCATAACCGCCTGCAGTTACAATCCAGTGCTGCCAAGAAACGGATCCGGGAAAAACATCCGAGGCGGTGGAGACTGCAGCGCAAGTGGCAGGCAGCAGAGATGCCAGGTGTGAAGCCGAAGCAGTCCACGCCTCTCGAGCCTTGCTTCGCTTCTTTGGAGAGTCCTAGCCACACGAGACATCGTCGCACAGACTGCTCAAGCAGGTAACAGAAACTCGAACAAGCGCCCTGCACCCCCCAAACCAGGCGGTGCCTCCCTAGTCTTCGGGCCCGTGAGGGTGACACCCAACTTGCCCGCCACCATCTTGTGCCTCGAGGGGCCGAGTTCAGGCGCTGTCACACTGCAAGGCTATTGACTTCATGGGTCTGTCTGTCTGCCTACTTGCCGAGCCAGCGAGCTACCTATCTACTCTACCCTACCTATTTATCTATCTCCCTGTTCTCCATGCATTTTTGCATATTCCCGACTGGGCGAGCAAAGTAAGGGGCAAGCACATGATAGATAGATGATCCAGGGCTGCCACACACCCCTCACCCCCCACCCCAGCGTATCCTCCCCCCTTG